GCCTACCCTCGACTTGCTGTTTTCCTTCAGTTGTATACATCTAGTGGGGTTTTTCAGAGTTGTCATCAGCATTGCCCAGAAAAAAAGAATCTGAGAGTTGGGAATGTAGTTCAATTGATAGAGTGCTTGCCTAAGATGCAGGAGAACCTGAGTTTGATTCCTGTACCACATAATAAGTAAAGCATGATAGCACAAACCTTGTAATCCCAGCATTCAGGAGGTAGAAACAGTATCAGAAGCAAAGGTCACTGTCCATTGTTTAAGTAAATTTGAGGCCAAACCTAGGGTAGGGACTCTTAAAAAAAAAAAAAAAACAAAAGAAAATCTGAAGGAGCCAGAAAGATTCAGGTGAGGCATCTGTCTGCTGAGGTGTCCCCAGATGCAAAATAAGTGGGTAGCTGCTGCCCTGACAAACTGTGAGTCCAGCCCCTGAACCCAAAGAGCAGGCAAGCAACTCGCTGTGACTGCCCCTTGGCTTCAGTTGGGGTTTTTCACAGCTGTCTTTCTGCATTTTGTCCTTCACATGGCTTTTTCTTTTTTTCAGTGGATATTTTTTTTTAAAGATTTATTTATTTGTTATATATACAGTGTTCTGTCTGCATGTTCACTTGTACAACCAGAAGAGGGAGCCAGTTCTCACTGTAGATGCTTGTGAGCCACCATATGGTTGCCGGGAATTGAACTCAGGACCTTTGGAAGAGCAGCCAGCGCTCTTAACCTCTGAGCCATCTCTCCAGCCTTTTTCAGTGGATATTAATCATACAAAATAAAACCTCAAGGGAGCTACTGTGAATTTTACATATATGCAAGTAACATGCTCTGAGCACATACTCCTTTATTACTCTCCCTGGTCAGCCCTTCTCCCTTCTCTCTGACCCCATAGCCTCTTCCCTAACAAGCTCTCTCCTAATTTCATCTTGTCTTTTTGTTCTGGAGTCTATACGAGAGAAAATATTGAATACTTATCCTGGTTTATTTTGTTTAACAATATTTCAGTTCCATCCAATTCCCTACAAACCATATAATTTCATTTATAGATGACTGCTTCATTCGTACTCACATGTTTACAGACACATATATACATACATATATATATATTCTCACATTTTATCTCCTCTTCTGCTGATGGGCACCTGAGAAGACTACAATAAATATGGCTACAATAAATATGGATGTGCAGGTATCTTTGTGGTATGTTGGTTCCTTTCAGCATATGAGTAGTAGAGCTGAGTCATATGGTAGATCTATTTTTTTTAGTAACCTTTCTACTGATACATTCCAACCAGTACTTTATAAGGCTTCTCTCAACATTTGATGACAGCAATTTGCACTTCAAAAAGATGGAATCTCAGTGTAATTTTGATTTGCTTTTCCCTGACAGCTGAAGATACTGAAGTTTTTGTTCATTTTATTTTGTTCAGAAAGGGTTTCATTATGTAGGCTTGTCTCACAAAGACAATAAAAGACAAGGTATTGAACTTTTCATAATTATTGGCCATTTGTTCTTCTTTTGAGAAGTTTCTGCTTAGGTGAGAATCGTGAGGCTTATTTTAGTCTGTTGTCCATATTTTTCTCTATTCATTCATCTTTTTCATTTCAAACTTACTAAGATTTTAGCAGCACAAAATTCCGTTTGTGGAGTACTCCCCCCCCGTCAAGCCTGAGAACCCTTTTTTTTTTTTTTTTTTTTAAGAGCTGAGGACCGAATCCAGGGCCCTGCACTTACTATATACCATTGAGCTAAATTCCCAACCCCAAGAATGAGAATCTATTCCTGCTCTTTCACACTGAAACCAGGTACTGTCCTCACTGGGCTCCAGAAAGCCAGATTGAATGGGTGCAGTCAAGCCAGGCAACCAGCAGAAAGCTGAGAACCACTTTCAACTTGTAAAGGTTGCTGCACACTGGTGGTGGAAACTAGGAACTGCACCCTAGGGTTAGAGAATGTGTCCCTCCTGGAGCATGGACGTGCCCAAGGGATGGATACTTTATAGTGAGGGTCTAGGCCCAGGCAGATACTCAGGGAGGGTCTAGAGCAGTCTTAGAGAAAGAGACTGCACAAGCACTGCCCTTTGAGGATAGATAGAACCCGTGGAATTCAGCAGGTAAAACTCTAGCAGGTGAAATCTTAAACCTGCAAAGGGGCACATGTCACCCAAAAGCTAGCTAGACAGTCAGTGTGTGGGGTGGGGTTGTATAGGACCCCTGGTACTCTGGGTATGATGGAATCTTGTCTATCAGAGCACTGAATCTGGAATCCACAACTCACACCCACCCCTCCCTTCCCAGGCCAGTTGATTGAGTTGCTCAAGCAGGTGTTACAATTGCTATTACTTTGGGCTTTTGTTGGGCCTTTCAGAGGCCCGAGAGGGTGTACCTTTATCTCCAGGTACACCAGTTTTATATGGAAGGATGTTTCCACTTCTTTGCAGTGACTTGTAGAATTTATATTACCCATGAGAACATTTGCACTGCAGCAGTCACAGTGGAAAACAAACCCAGTTCTCTGGAAATTTCTGTGCCTTCATTTCCCATTTTGACCCCAGCAGAGACAATGTTTATCCCATCCACTTATGGGTTTGCACAGAATGTCACAACCTGGGAGATGTCCATCCAGGATAATCTTTCCCATACCTCTCCTCTCCCCAAATGAGAACTCATTTCTGGATACATTGTGGCCACCATTAAGAAACAAACTGGGCTGGTTGTGGTGGCACACACTGATAGGATTTGCTGAAGGAGGCAGAGGCAGGAGGATCACGAGTTCAAGGCCAGCCTGGGCTACACAGTTTTGGGGTTGGAGAGATTGCTCAGTGGTTAAGGGTGCCGAATGCTCTTCCTTAAAGGACCCAGGTTTGATTCCCAGCACCTACGTGGCAGCTCACAACTGTCTGTAACGGATCTGACACCTTTACCCTAATGCACATAAAACAAAAAATAAATTATTTTTAAAAAAAGAAACAGGGAGCACATTGTGGTGGGGAACCTACTTTAACCCCAGCACTCAGGAGGCAGAGGCAGGCAGATCTCTTTGAGTTCCAGGACAGCCAGGGCTGTTACACAAAGACACCCTCTCTCAGAAAAAGAAAGGAAAGAAAAAAAAAAAAAGAAAAGAAAGAGAAAAAAAGAAAGAAAGAAACTGTTGCGGGTGGCTCAGTTGGTAAAGGTACTTGCCATAGAGCCTGACAACACGAATTTGACCATGGAAACCAACATGGTGGAAGGAGTACCAACCCAGGAAAGTTGTCCTCTAACCTGCATATGTACACCATGACACGTGTACTCTCTCTTAATAAATGAGTCTTTAAAAATTATCTGGGCTTTGGCAGTGGTGGCCTACACCTTTAATTTCAGTACTTGGGAGACATATGGATCTCTGAGTTTGAGGCTATCTACAGAGCAAGTCCCAGGAGGTCAGAGGTACAGAGAAACCCTTTCTCGAAAAACAAAAGAACAAAAGCAAAAATCTGTAATTCCAGCACTTGGGAGGCAGAAGGCTCGGGAGTTCAAAGTCAGTCTATACTATAATAAAACTGGTGGCCTACAGCATTTAGGAAGCTAAGGCAGGAACAGCTCACAGGCAAGCCAGTTAGCGTAGCAAGTTGGGCCAGCCTGGACTCCTTGAGACCCTGTCTTGGAAGAAAACAAAACAACAAGCTAGCAAGGTATGGAAGCACATCCCTTTAATCCTAGCACTCTGGAGGCAGAAGACAGGCTGATTGATGAGTTCAAAGCCAGTCTGGACTACACTGTGAGTTCCAAGACAACTAGGTCTACGTAGTGAGAGCCTGTCTCAAAAAAACAAATAAAAGAACATAAAGTGGATAGGGAGGTGGAGAAGATCTAGAAAAAGTTAGAAAAGGAAAAAATACTTTTAAAATATATGAAAAAAAATTTTAAAAATGATTAAATGAGCTGGAGAGATGGCTCAACAGTTAAGAGCACTGGTTACACTTCCATTAGTTCCTAGTTCAATTCCCACCAACCACATGGTGGCTCAAAAACATCTATAGTGGTATCTGATGCCCTCTCCTGGCGTGCAGGCATACATGCAGATAGAGCACATAAAGGAATCTTTGTTGGGTGCAGTGGCTCAGGCCTGTAGTCCCAGCAGAGGCAGGTGGATCTTTGTGAGTTAGAGGCCAGCCCGGTCTACAATATGAGTCCTGGACGGCCAAGGCAACACAGAGAAACCCTGTCTTGAGAATCCAAATAAACAAATAAATAAATAAAACAGTAACAAAAAACAGCAAGTGTAAAGAAATCTACACACCACGAAGCACAAGAAAGTGACAGGAAATAGACACAGGACACTTTTTGAGAAATCAGAACCCCTGATCCCTGGACCTCCACCCCAGAACTGTTTTAGGGCCACATGGATTGGGTTTTTTGATAAATGAAACTTTTAAAAAATAGAACGACTGGTATTAAGAAAAGATTTTTGGTTTTTCAAGACAGGGTTTCTCTGTGAAGCCTTGGCTGTCCAGGAACTTGCCCTGTAGACCAGGCTGGCCTTGAACTCACAGAGATCTATCAGCCTTTGCCTCTCAAGTACTGGAAATAATGGTATGTACCACCATAACCAGGGAAAAGGCTATTTTTTAAGGAATAATTTCCTAGTCTCTACAAGGGGAGCTTGTGCAAGGAGGGTAGCAATCATACGTATACACAGCGTACATATGCACCCAGCAATTTTGAGGTCCTGTGCTTCTTTCAAGTCTGTACCTGTTTGTTTGATGTAGCTCTAGGTCCCTAACTACACTTAATCATGTGCCTAACTCATATCTTTGTGTCTCTTACCTCCCTTACTCATTCATTCTGTAAACCTTTACTAGAGGCTGGGTACAGTCCAGCTTGGGCAACATAGTGAGACCTTGCTTCTTTTCCCCCGCAAAACATCCTTAGTAGAACCCATTCACTTTGGAACCCCAAGACCCAGACTTCCAATCTCCTTCTCCTGCGGAGAGGGTTGTCTGGGTGACTGAAGGAGTACATACACAGGCGTTTCAAAACTGGCTTTAAACATTCATCAGGGTGCCACATGAAGGATCTGGGGTAAGACACTGTTACATGGGTGAGGCTGAGGTACCCTGAGACACAAAAAACAAAGGGGGGGACCTGTGTGACAAAGCTGCTGGGGTGCCCCCACCCCTACCACAGAACAAGGGAGTAGAGTAGAGCCCCTCTCTGAAGGTCTCAGCACTATGTAGGAGCCAGTCCTCCCTTGGAGGTAGATCATCCAGAAGGGAACTTTGGAGCAGCTCCCACAGTGGCAGGGGCAGGCAGCGGCTTCCTTAGTGGTACTGCTGGTAGTTGGGATAACTTGCAGCTGAAGCTCCCTCTTTAGGTGTTAGCTGGTTAGGGTCATCCAAGAATGGGGGTGCTGGAGAAGGAAGAATGAGGTCATGAAGCGAGGAAGGGTGCAGAAGGCTGACAGTGCTCCCTGGCTCTCCCTGACCATTGCCCACCAGGTCCTCACCATTGCGGAACTGCTGAGCAGTATAGCGAGTGAGAAGGATGCCGACACCTTCAATGAGGGCCAACAGGATGCCCCCCATCATTGCAGAGCCCACCATGGCCAGCGGACCACCTGGAGGCAGAAAGAGATAGAACTGAGGAAGGGCCAGCAGCACAGGGAAAGGACTAGGATTGGGGCGGGGGCACTCACTGCGTGCGGCCAGCACAGCTCCAGTCAGTGCTCCACTAGTGATGGAGTTCCAGGGGTCTTCCTTGCCCCGAAGCTGTACAAGGCCACAGTCAATGGTAGAAAACAGTCCTCCCCACACTGCAAAGCTACCTGTAGGGGGATAGGATGCTAATCAGTCATTCCCAGAAATTCAGACAATCCACATATCTCAACATGTGGGAACTTCCAAGGTCTGAAACTAGTGAGAGAAAGGTGCTGAGGCTCTTAGGATTGGAAATATGGCTCAGGGTTAGAGAGCTTGCCTAGGGTTCTTAGGATTCCCTGCAAAGCAAGCATGCAGGCATGCACTAAACTAATAAAATAGTCAGATACATGAACATACAGTATTAATAAATAAATCAATAAACAAACAAAAATGACTAAGCTATGGTATAATTCCAGCACCAGGAAGGTGCAGGTACGAGGACTACAAAAAGTTAGACACCTATAGAGTGAAGAAAGCAGAGAGAGGATTTCTATGAGCTCGAGGCTAGCATGTTCTACAAAGTGAGTCCATGATAGCCAGGGCTACACAGAGAAACCTTGTCTAGGACTTCGGGGGACATAGTAGGTTGGAGAGTAACCTAGCCTATAGAAAACCATGGGTTACAAGCTCAACACCAAATACGAGAAGGAATAAAGTCCAGACATAGAGGCAGGTATCCTACAGAATACCCCATCTTTCTTACTGTGAATAGTCCTCATTGGATTGGGGCTCTAGTTATCATCAAAATAACTTTCACTTTTAGTTGTTAGATGGATAGGAGCAGAGTGACCTTCCATACAGCTTTCAATGAAGCAATTTCCACCCTTTAAATTCCCTGTGGAGCTGGGCTTGCCGGTGTACACCTGTAATCCCAGCACTCAGGGAAGCGGAGGCAGGTGGATCTCTGTGCGTTCCAAGTCAGCCTGATCTACAAAGGCCAGAGCAGCCAAGGCTACACAAAGAAACTCTGCCCTGAAAAACTAAACTAACTAAACAAATAAATAAATACCACATAGAGTTGGAGTTCTGGTTTTGATTTTAGGGGAAAGGAAAACAGGTTAGGAAAACCAGAATATAATATATATTATTAAACATTCATACTCTAGACACCCAAAATGCTTCAAAATCTACAACCTTTTGAGCATGGTCATGATATCAGAAACAGAAATTTTCATAGTTGACCTCAAGCAACATAAAACAGTAAAAATGCAGGAGAACTAAACATGATATTATATAATTAGGTGAGGTGGTGGGTAAGGACCTACAGTCCCAGCTACGTGGGAGGCTGAAGAGTCACATAAGGCAGATAGCTGGATCCTAAGGGTTTGAGACCAGCCTGGACACCATAGAGAGATCTATTTGTTGTTTTTGTTTTGTCTTGGTGGTGGTGGGGATGTACTTCGGGGTTTCACATATTAGTCAAGTACTTTACTACTGGGCTACATCCTCAATCCTGAGACCTCCATCTCTTCCTCCCTCTTTTTTGACACAGTATCTCATGTAGCCAAGGCTGGCCTCAAACTTGTTATGTAGCCAAGGATAATCTTGAAGATTGGATACATCTGCCTACATCTTTCAAATGCCAATATTATAAGTGGGCACTATCATACCCAGTTTTTATGCACCGCTGGGCATTGAACCCAAGACTTCATGCTACTAGGTAGGTGGTCTCTTAATAAAAAATGAAATATACAGTGTTGGGAATTTTTTTCAGTGATAGAACACATGCTCATTCTAACCCTACTACAAAAAAAAAAAACAACAAAACAAAATATATATCCATGTGTGTGTATATAGTATATAAAAGCTACAAAACTGATGCTAGAGTGCTTACCTAACATGTTGGAGATTTAATCGTCACTATCTCAAAAAAATTTTTTTAAAAGAGCTGGGCATGGCTTATATCTGTAATCTTAACTACTTGAGAGGCCAAGGCAGGATGACCTTGCTTTTAAGGCCAGCCTGGGCTATAGAGTGAGACCTGTTTAAAAAAAAAAAATATCCAAGATATGTAAATAATCTGAATACAGGGCTGGAGAGATGGCTCAGCAGTTAAAAGTACTGTCTGCTCTTCCAGAAGTCCTGAGTTCAATTCCCAGCTAGTACATGGTGGCTCACAACCATGTATAATAGGATCTGATGCCCTCTTCTGGCATGCAGGTATACACGCAAATAGAGCACTTATCTGTAAAATAAATAAATAAATCTTAAAAAAAATCTGTATACTAAACACAAGTGAATTCTATGTTTAGACTTGGATCTTAAACTATTCTCATTATACATATACATACTTTAAATTACTATAAAATCCAAAAGCCTCTGACATGTGAAACACTTCTGGTCTCAAGCATTTTGGATAGGAATACTCAACCTGCAGTTAAGATGTTTATTGAGGGCCCACTATGCCCTAGTATTTATTTGAGGTACTTTGTACTAGCAGACTTCTGCAACTTTAAATTAGTTAACATGATCAAAGGTCTCAGCATAGTAACTAGCGCTTAGAAAGTACTCTGTGGATTAATTTTTAAACTATCAATTGAACAGTCAATGTTATCATCATCACACAAGGTTTGGAGAAACAATGCTACTGGCATAAGGTCACCTAACAGGGAAGAGCCAGGACCTGGATTTAATCTGCTGAATACTTGAGGCTTGTTGGAACACATCTTTAATCCTGGCATTTGGAAGGAAAGAGGTAGAGGCAGAGGTAGAATCTCTGTGAGGCCAGCCTGATCTATAGAGTGAGTTCCTAGACAGCCAAAGCTGCATAGAGAGACCCTGTCTCAAAACAAACTGCAGATTACACAGTCTTGCCTTTCACACTGAACTGTTGGGAAACATCACCAAGCCAGGAAGTTCTGGTCAGACTTTAACAGTCTAGCTTCAAAGGATCAGCTACCCTCAAAGTTGCTCTCACAATTTATGTTCCCCCATGCTCCTCACCTCCAATCTGGGGTGCCCGGATCCTTACAGCATTGACACTACCTCTGAACCGGTGTGGAACTCCCTGGAGAAAGCAAGGAAAGGTGTCAGGAGAGGGGGAGGTAAGATCACTGGCAGGCAGCGTCTCTAGGCTTTATAAAAGGGCACTTTGTTAAGTGCATGCCTAGACTGAGCAAGGCCCAGGGTTCTTCTACTCCCAGAACTGCAACAAAAAGAGAAGAAGGCACAAGAAAGCTGTTACATGCATAGCAGCAGCCAAAGAACCAGGAAAATGGGGAGTAAATACAACAAAAAGTCTTAGAAGTAACTTGCTAATTACATTAATTTGTTCACTTGTTCATTCATTACAGTTTCAGACAGCAAAATGCAATCTAGAGCAGCAGTTCTCAACATGTGGGTCACAACCCCTTTTGGCCAAATGACCTTTTCACAAGGGTTGCCTCAGGCCATTGTTAAACACAGGTATTTACATTCACAACAGTAACAAAATTACAGTTATGAAGTAACAATGAAATAATTTTATTTTAATTTTTAACATGAAGAACTGCATTAAAGGGTCACAGTGTTAGGACCCTTTAGTTAGGCTGAGAACCACTGGGTGGTGGTGGCACATGTCTTTAATCCAAGCACTTGGGAGGCAGAGGCAGAAAATCTCTGAGTTTGACACCAGTCTGGTCTACAGAGCTAGTCCCAGGACAGCCAGAGCTACACAGAGAAACTCTTGTATCAAAAAAATGCAAGTATCTGCTTTGATACACTGCTAGGCAGAGTCTTTCAGAGGCCTTCTATGGTAGGTTCCTGTACTATTTCTTGTTTTCTCCTACTTCCAATGTTCATCCCATTTGTCTTTTTAAGTGAGGATTGATCATCTTACCCCGGGGCCTCCTCCTTGTTTAGCTTCTCTAGGTGTACAGATTTTAGTATGTTTATCCTATCTTATAGGTCTAGTATCCACTTATAAATGCTGAGACTCATAACTGAACCTTGGGCAGAGTACAGGGAATCATATGAATGAAGGGAGAGTTATTATGGCCCAGAGAGGACAGGAGTTCCACAAGGACCAAATATATCTGGGCACAGGGGTCTTTTCTGAGACTGACTCTCCTACCAAGGACCATGCATGGATATAACCTAGAACCTCTGCTCAGATATAGCCCATGGCAGCTCAATATCTTAGTGGGTTCTATTGTAAGGGGAACAGGGACTATCTCCGACATGAACTCAGTGGCTGGCTCTTTTACCTCTCCCCCACCCCCCCATGAGGGAGGAGCAGCCTTGCTAGTCCACAGAGGAGGACATTGCAGCCAGTCCTGATGAGACCTGATAAGCTAGGATCAGATGGAATTGGAGGAGGACCTCCCCTATCAGTGGACTTAGAGAGAGGCAGGGAGGAGATGAGGGAGGGAGGGAGGGTTTGGGATGAAAAGAGGGAGTGGGCTACAGCTGGGATACAAAGTAAATAAACTGTAATTAATATAAAAAATAAAAATTTAATTTAAAAAATTGCAAGTAAATAAATAAAAGAAAGTAGGGAAAAGGACGGTTGAGATCCACTACTCTCGAGGAAGTAGAATAATTAAGAGTGTATTTTTAGCTTGTAGGCTAGCAGGATGGTGGCACCTGGTTCTATTCCTTATAGTAAAAAAGAAAAAAAAATGAGGGCATGATATGTGTGAAGACCCCCAAGAATGAGAAATATGGACCAAAATCTAGTAAAGAGAGTTCCATGAACTGAGAGGACAATTCAGAGCCAGACATAAAAGTTGCAGAATCCAAGGGTGTTGGCAGATGCCTGTAATTCCAGTACTTGGAAAGCAGAGACAGGAGGATTTGAAGTTCTGTGCCAACCTGTGCTACATAAAAAAAAACTGTTGTGTGTCTGTGTGATAAGTACCTAGGAATGTGTGTGTGTGTGCGTGGGGGGGTGAACATGGAGGTCAAAGCAGGATCTTAGGGGAACTACTACTGCTTTTTGCCTTGAGACAAAGTATCTTACTGAACCAACTTCAGGCTAAGCTGACTAGCCAGCAAGGGTTTGGGATATGCCTGCCTTGTGTCCCACCCCTTATAATACTGGAGTTGTAAGCAAAGGCAGGCAAGGTGCAGGATATTTGTGAACTGTAAAAATCCTGTTTATTGTAAACAGGTGATTATGGTGTGGTTCACCCAGCCCTTGCACATACCTTTAATTCATGAGCTCTTTGTATACCAGATCTAATAAAGTTAACCCTAGGTCAAGAAGTAGAGCAAGAAACCAGCTGACGGGGATTAAAGAGTAGAAGGGACTTTGAGTTGAGAGGTATTTAAGACAGCATAGAAAAGAGCTTTTAGCTCAAGCTCTAGCTTTAGCTAAGGCTTCAGCTCCTCAACTCCCTGGCTTTTTGAGCTTTGAACCAGCAAGCCTTCGGCATTGGGTTTTTTGGTCTTTTCCTCCTGGGCTGTCAGTTGAGCTAGTAAGCCTTCTGGGTTTTTTTCCATCTGGACCTGAGCTGAGAAGGAAGATCAGCTGAGTACTTTCTCTGCCTCTCTGAGCTACCAGGTTTTTCCCCTGGCATCTGGCTCCTGACTTCTTATTGGTAAAATAGAACAGTTGGAATTTTCATCATTGTTTTTAACAACACAGGCATGCCTGACTTTTTATATAGGTGTTGTGCAAGCAAACTCAGGATCTCAAGCTTGCAAAAACAAGTGCTCTTATCCACTGAACCTTAGCCCTTCAGGGGTAGGGAGCCTGGGGGGGGAATTATAGTTCCCTCTTTCAATTTAAAAGCTGCTCTATCAAACTCCTGTCATTTTCCTATACAGAGATTTTGCCCCTGAGACAGGGTTTCTCTGTGTAGCCTTGACTGTCCTGCACTCACTTTGTAGACCAGGATGGCCTCAAACTCACAGAGATCCACCTGCCTTTGTCTCCCAAGTGCCCATATATAAAGGATTTTTAACCCAGAGTCTGTCTTGAGGTAAAATGTAATGGCGCATACACATTTAAGATTCAATGCTAACTTTTTTCTTATTCTTATTCTGATGCTGAGAATGGAATCTAGGACCTCTCTTGCTTAATCAACTGTTCTACCACTGAGCTATATACTACCTTCCCATAATACTGTTTCTGACAGTACAGTATTTTCACAGAGCTCCAGCTGGATAGTTGAAGAAAAGATTTCCTCAAATCCTATATCCAGGAGCCAGGCCCAGCAAAGTAGGTGAATAAGCAACAGAATAAGTAAGTATGCTCAAAGCAGTATTCTATGTCAGCAAGACTGCAGACTCCCACACCACTGGGGGAAGACCCAACTCACAACAGGGGCGTTGCGAAAGCCCTTGATAGCCTGGAAGACTCCACCACCAATGACACCCATAGTGAAGGCTCCACCGCAATCATCTACAATTCGCCATGGGCTGCAAAGCAGGAAGGAAAAGACTGGGTTAATGTGAGACCCTGCCATGACTGGATGCCAAAATGGGATGCTCATGACTGATAAGAAACACCTCAGATAATAATAAATTACTTCTATCAGTTGTTACATGCCCCATAAAGCTTTGAAAGTAAAGCCAGACATGGTTCTGCATACCTGTGTAAATCACAACACTTGGGAGGCTGAGACCAGAGGATCATGAGCTTGAGTCCAACCTAGGCTATAAATGGAGACTCTGTTACCCCCAAAAAGGTTTGTGCTGGGTATGGTGGCACACGCCTTTAATTCCAGCACTCTGAAGGCAGAGGAAAGTAGATCTATATGCTTGAGGTCAGCATAGTCCACTCAAAGAGTTCCAGACCACCCAGGGCTCTATAAAGTGAAATTATATATATAATATATATATATATATATATTATATATATATATAAAATCTGTGGAGCAAAAGTGAGAAAATATTTTTCTTTCATTCTCTCTCTCTTTTTTTTTTTTTTTGAGATGGTGAAGGAGGTTGTCTCACTACAAAGCCTTCCAAATGTTGGGCTTATTACTGGCAGAATAGTACTCTTGATTACAACCAATCATCAATCAAACTGTTTTTGTTAGTATCGAAAATCAAATGCGTCAGATGGAAGGGGAGAAGGACCTCCCCTATCCGTAGACTTGGAGAGGAGCATAGGAGGAGATGAGGGAGGGAGGATGGGATTGAGAGGGAAGGAGGGAGGAGACTACAGCTGGGATACAATGTGAATAAACTGTAATCAATACAAAAAGTAAAAAAAGAGAGACAATATATAAATAAAATGAAATAAAAAGTATAAAAAAATCAAATGGATTGGTCAGTACAAAGGGTTGGCACGTTTCTGTAAAGTGTTAAGTAGCTAAAGTTATTAAAGTAAAGCAAAAAAAGCACATCCAAGAAAGCTATGTGACTTATGTCCTTTTAAACCCTAAAACGGAAAAAAAAAATCAAAAGACGGTGAGGAAGAGCCAGGCCTCATCTCCTAGCCCACAGTGGGTTCACACATGCCCTGTCCAGGGTCAAAAACCAGCTTGGGAAAAGCCAGGCGAGACAACCCAGTGCGTTTTGGCTCTACGCCTCTCCTCGCCTGCCGCCAGAATGGATCGGCCCAGTGTTTCTCTTTTGGCTCACAAAAAGGGTCTAGGAGAACATTCAGGGGAACAGTGGGTTAGTCTGTCCCACACCACACCTACTGGGACACTCTACTGTGGCGGTTTTTTAACGAAGTCCGAGAGGGAGGATCCCCGCCCCCACCGGACCCGCTGAGGCAGTCAAGTTTCTAAGCCTCCCTCGTCAGGGACTTGGCAGGGTAACCCTTGCCTTCCCCGCCCGCCTCCCGCGATTGGCCTGGGCGTCGCAGGGACTGTCCCGAAGCCTGTGCCACGGCCGTACCAAGGTTCGCGAGCATACTCTTCCATGGCGACAGCCTTTGGCCCGGAGCAGTCGTTCTCACTAGCGAGCCACTCCCCTCTCCCCGCTCACCAGCGTGAAGGCGTCGCAAGTAGGCCAAGGAAACAATTGGCTTTCCTGTTGACGTAACGCCAAAGACGTACTCTTATTGGCCAGCCGTGCTGGCCACTTCCGTTCTCTGCCAGCCTTGGAGTCGAACGGTTAACTGCAGCTGTGAGGAGCGTTCTTGCGGTTTATAAGAAGAGCCCTTCGATATTGGTAAGCATAGTGACAACAAGGGAGACAGACTTTGGCTCTGGTAATGCCGGGGTGGAAGCCTTCTTTTAAAGCTAAAGAGGATGATCGCATTTTTGCACCCCCATCCTAGCACCTTGGTTCCTCCCATGGTGCGGACTTGGAGAAACGTTGGGTGATCCCATTTCTGGGTCGTGGGTGTGCTGCACTTGGTCCCTGAGGCGATAGGTGGAGCCTTGGCCTGGAGAGGAAATGGTCTTAAGTGCATCCGGTCTCCATTGCCGGAGTTAGAGTTCTAGTGTGGTACTAGTTCTGGCCATACTGTTAAAAATCTCTTTCATCTTTTAGCATCCATTTTCGTTCTGTTCTTCTAGCTACTGGTGCATTTAGGTAGGTGGGGATCAAATGAACACACGCAGAAGGGTGGTGCATGGTTACTGAATATACAGAATGAAATGTTCGTTGGATTGGGCCTTCAGAGCCGTCTGTCTGTTTAGGTCTGGTCAGCAATCCAAAATGCCGCTCCCTGTTGCACTGCAGACCCGCTTGGCGAAGAGGGGCATCCTCAAACATCTGGAGCCTGGTGAGAAAGCTAAAACCAGTTGGATCTACCATGTGCCATTGTTAACAGACGTTCTGTTATTTATTCTCTTCTCTATTGTGCCTCTTCTTCTCCGCCCCCGCTCCCACTACCGACCATGCACAGTCGAACCCAGGTGCATGCTATGGAAGTGCTCTACCATCATCCCCAGCCCAAAAGCTCACACCTTTTCCCCCCACGTGTTGCTGAAGTTAAACCAAAGCTCTTGGATGAGCTCTACTATTTAGGTACATCTCCTTGACCATTAGTTTTTGTCTTGTTTTTTTGTTTTTTCGAGACAGGGTTTCTCTGTATGAAATTTGTTTTTCATACTAGATACCTTGCATGGTCTGGCAGGCCTCACATTGTCAATGTCATTTTCTGATAACCATTACTACTGCATGGTAAGTATTATGTGAAGTCTAAGGCTGGAAAAACAAGATAGAGTTTAATTTATGAATCAAGTGCTCGCAGTGGCATGTACTCAGCTACTGAAGGGGCTGAGATACAAGATGGCTTGAGCCCAAGAGATCAAGGCCAGACATGGCAATTGGCAAGACGCCAGTCTTTGAAAAATAAAGCTAAGTGTGATGGCATGCTCCTGTCATCCCAGCAATGCAGAGACTGAGGCAGGAGGATCACAGGTGACAGCCTGTTTAGGTAATTATTCCAGGCCAGATATATATTTTTTAATACATACACCAGAAAATAACAAAGTAAATCTGTAGGACTGACTACATTAATTAATTAATTAACTTTTAAGACATGGCCTTACTTTGTGCTTCTGGCAGGCCCGGAACTCATTATGTATTTCAGTCTTCCCTAAGGCTAGGATTAAAGGTGTCCACTACCACACTGGGCCAGTATTTATTTAATAAAAATGACATGTGATAGCAGCCTCCTATGTGCCATATACAGTGGCAAGGTGTTGGTGCTGTTAAGATTTATTTCTTTTACGAGTATGAGTGTTTTACCTGCATGTACACCTGTATACCAGAAGAGGGCATCAGATCCCAGTATAGATGGTTGGGAGGCATCATGTGGTTGCTAGGAATTGAATTCAGGTCCTCTGGAAGAACAGACAGTGCTCCTAACCACTGAGCCATCTCTCCAGCCCCAGTGCTGTATGGTTTATCTCAGCAGAAGTACTGTGGTGATGCGGATGATAACTTACTAACATTTCTTTGGGCTGCCTAAGTGTCTGACACATATGGTATGCTAACAGTCAAAAATGATTACCTGTCAGATTTACGGAATTACTGGCTGATAACTACAAATTATTGCCAACAATAATAAATGTGGCATGCGTTTTGACCTATATGGTGTGTCAGGCAATGGAAAGTGCATCATGTTATTGTATGGATAACTGACATCTACCACTTTGGGCCAGACATACACTTTGTGCCCAATAGTGCTAATAATAAACATTGATATATTTTTCTTGGTGGTGCAGAGATATTAATCCAGGGTTTCAGGAAAACTCTGTATCATTCATGTTTCTTTTAAATCTTTTGAGTCCACTACTGAGAGTGCATGCTTGCTTGCTTATTGATTGATTGATTGATTGATTGATTAAGTGGTTGGTTTTTCCAGACAGGGTTTCTCTGTTGTAGCCTTGGCTGTCCTGGACTCACTCTGTAGACCAGGCTGGCCTCGAACTCCCAGAGATCTGCCTGCCTCTGCCTGTACCCATGTGTCTGGTGAGAATGTTTGTTTTATTAGCAATATGGACAATCATACCTAGCATCTCTTTTGGTGTCACTGTGACACTGCTGGCATATGCGTTTTATTGCTAATTATGGCCACGTTTGTGGGCCTACCGATAGCCCACAATAGGCATTGAACTGATAATAGACAGCATTTTTAAAAAATCTTTTATCTTTGGTTTTTTTTTTTTTTTCTGAGACATGGTTTTCCTGTGTAGCCTTGGCTGTCCTGGACTCACTTTGTAGACCAGCCTGGCCTCAAACTCCTCAAACTCATAGTAATCAGCACAGCAATCCCTGAGTGCTGAGATAACAGGCGTGTGCCATCACGCTTGGTTTAATAGACAACATTTTTATTCTACTATCACTAAACATCTGCTGCAGGCTTGTTATATATCAGTCCTTAAGAATAGAGTCAGAGCAATGTTTCAATTAGTTCCTTGATATCCAACATACAGGACTCAAAATCCCATCACAGTTCAGAAGGTGAACTAGTTAGCTGTTATTATAGGTAACTCCCCTGCTGTTCAAACCCATTTATTTAATTTAAGTAGGTTTGGATAATAGTGCCACGTGGGATCTGAACCCAGGAATTGATTGGATGTCGTTGTGTCTGAATATTCTCTATCAACGCTGAGCACATGCCTCTAACTGTGCATTCCATGTATAGTGATGTGAATGCCTTGCCCTTAAGCCCTGAGTATAGTAGAACACACACACACATCAGATTTGTTTTTTTTTCTTTTGAGACAGGATTTCTCTGTGTAGCCTTGGCTATCCTGAACTCACTCTAGACCAGGCTAGCCTGGTCTTCACAGAGATCCACCTGCCTCTGCCTCCCAATTGCTGGGATTAAAGGAATGCAGCACCACTGCCTGGCTTCACACCAGGTTTTTTATTTTTTATTTGTTTTATTTATTTTTTTACTGAGTATCTTTATTTTTATTATTAGTTACATTTTATTAACTCTGTATCCCAGCTGTATCCTGCTCCCTCATTCCCTCCCAATCCCACCCTCCCTCCCTCTTCTCCTCCCTGCCCCTTTCCAAGTCCACTGATTGGGGAGGACCTCCTCCCCTTTCATCTGATCCTGTTTTATCAGGTATCTTCCGGACTGGCTGCAAAGACCTCCTCTGTGGCCTAGCAGGGCTGCTCCTCCCTTGGGGGGTGGGGAGGTCAAAGAGCCTGCCATTGAGTTCATGTCAGAAATAGTCCTTGTTCCCCTTACTATGGGAAACCAATTGGTTACTGAGCTGCCGTGGGCTCTATCCGAGCAGAGGTTCTTGGTTATATCCATACATGGTCCTTGGTGGAGTATTAGTCTCAGAAAAGACCCCTGTGCCAATATATTTGGTCCTTGTGGAGCTCCTATCCTTTCCACATCCTTTCATACAAACTCCCCCTTCTTTCATATGGTTCCCTGCACTCTGCCGAAGGTTTGGTTATAAGTCTTAGTATCTGCTTTGATACACTGCTCACACCAGGTTTTTAAACTGCCTTTCTCCTTCCCCATTCTTCCAGAGCCAGAGGAAGAGATTATTGCTGAGGACTATGATGATGATCCTGTTGATTATGAGGCCACCCGATTAGAGGGCCTGCCACCGAGCTGGTACAAGGTGTTTGACTCTTCTTGGTGAGCCTATCATCATATAGGTGGGAGGGACAGCTGGCCTTGCCCTTCCTGTGTTATCCCTTATTGTGCGGTTGATAGGGAAGAGATGTACATATAGAGGCATGGAGAAGATCTAGGCAGAGGTTTGGCAGACAGTTGGTATAAGGGACCATCTGTGCTAACATTCTCTTCTCTCTCACTGCCCGCAGTGGACTCCCATACTACTGGAATGTGGAGACAGACCTTGTGTCCTGGCTCTCACCACATGACCCCAACTTTGTCGTCACCAAATCTGCCAAGAAACTCAGGAACAGTAATTCAGGTGAGTTGGCAAAGACAGGGATGTGTCAGTGATTCTTGCAGTCTCAGAGAGGGGCTGAGGAGACCATATGTGGAAGAGAGGGTCTGCAGCACTTCTATGTTACCATAGATGCTGAGGAGAAGTTGGACCGGAGTCATGAGAAGCTGGACAGAAATCATGAGAAGTCAGATCGGAGTCATGAGAAGCCAGATAGGAGCCATGACAAGGCAGACCGAAACCAAGAGAAGCCTGAGCGAGAACGAGAGCGGACGTACGACAAAGTGGACAGAGAGAGAGATCGGGACAGGGAACGGGATCGGGAACGGGGGTATGACAAGGCAGACCGCGAAGAGGGCAAAGACAGACGCCATCATCGCAGAGAGGAGCTGGCTCCTTACCCCAAGAGCAAGAAGGGTAAGTGGATCATGTTAGGATTTGGATGAGTCAAGTGAGGTACCAGGGCACAGAATGTACAGTATGCATGCCTAGACCTGGGCTTCTGTAGGGTGTTGTGAGCTGCGATAGCCACCAGTACCTCTTTTTCTTGGGAGAAGGGGCTTAGTGACCAGGGACTCCTTCGGTCTCAAGGGAAGAACTTGCACTGCTACTTGTTTCTATAGCAGTGAGCCGGAAAGATGAAGAATTAGATCCCATGGACCCCAGCTCATACTCAGATGCACCCCGGTAAGTGAAACCCTTTGTCGATCCTTTTGTAAACTGTACCCTTCTCTTTTGTCTCTTCCTTCCCATTTTTTAATCTTGAGCAGCTAAGGGATGTCCACTACACCCTCTTCCTGTCCTCTAATTCTCTGTTATCCCCAGGGGCACATGGTCAACAGGATTACCCAAGAGGAACGAGGCCAAGACGGGGGCTGACACAACAGCAGCTGGGCCCCTCTTCCAACAGCGGCCATACCCTTCCCCGGGGGCTGTGCTCCGCGCCAATGCCGAGGCTTCCCGAACCAAACAGCAGGACTGAGCCTTTGTTCCCTGTAGCTTTGGCAGTTTGTCTGTCTTTCTTCCGTGTGGCTCTGGGGATAGAACCCATAGTTTTGCACATGCTGAATTATTCTACCAGTGAGCTACACTCCCGGCCCCCTTGTTTCTAATAGCTTTTTTTTTTTTTTTTTTTTTTTTTTGTGGATCATATCCATGAGGCTTGAGTGCTCTCTTTGTTCATTCTTTCCAATGCAAGTTGACAAGGTGTAAAACATTTTATTTGTAGAAACTCACCTAAGAAATACTGCAAAGGTAGCAGAAGTTGAGGTGGGCCCATTAACAGGTTAGTCATGAAAGCCTATGTGGGGCAGGGCTGGTGGGGACAGGGAGGTCCCATGCCTCCCTCACCACACCCCTAATACTGATAAGTTTAGTCCCAGCTGGACCAGGGCAAGAAGGGAGAACGAAGGCAGGCCTGTGTCTTCAGTTCCAGCAGCTACGAACCCTTCACCTTGGTGAGCAACCTGTGGTGAAAATGGGAAGGAAAGAAAAACACAAAAAGCTGGGGTGGGCTAGCAGGTGGGTATCCTGAGCAAGGGAGGGTGGTGATAGTGAGCTAGTAATCCTGGGGTTAATGATGGTGCTTGTGTGGAAAGAGCAGGCCCCTGCATCAGAAAGCTACACATGGACTAAATAAATACAACATCTTTATTTGGCATTGGGTATACTGACATTTGTTCATTACAGTTATTTAGAAAACAAACAAAAAATCAGAACAAATTAATCAAAAATAAAGATCCAATGGCCCTATTTACATATAGCAAAGACAGCCCAGGCACCTTCCATGCGTGCACTTTATGCTCGCATGCACACATACATACACGCACACATACACACACATCTGGGATACAGTTAGGGAGTTAATAAGCTTTGGGGAGTGCAGGGGTACAGGTTCCATGATTCATCAATTCTAACACCCACCATGAAGTAAGGGTGTTTTAAACAGCTAAAAAATGGGATGGGCAGCTTTATTTTTCCTTTCTGGCTGTTTCAGAAGATAATCCTTCACCTCTGCCTCTTCAGTTACCCAGGATTCAGCCACTTCAAGGACCTCCCCTCCCCATTTTCCAAACACTCTGGATCATTGAGCTGATTATTTCACAGATCCCCAAACTATTGAAATGCAAATGGCACTTACTACACCCTCCCCAATATGAGCTAATACGAAATTCTCAGCTTGTGCCTCTCCTCACTCCAGGCACTTACAACAGGCCAATCATCAAGGATCTCTGTACCAGGGAAACTGCCCCAAAGCCACATCAGAGACCAAGCTATTGACATGATCCAGGGTGATGGTGCAGGAGAGAAGGCCTCATACAATAAGAAATGGAACCCCACAAGTAGTCATTAGTTGTTACTGAAGAACTGCAGGGCTTTTGTCCAGTCTGCAGGATGGCTGGAATGGACTGTCTCAGGCACGAGACAGGCCATCTTCAGCAGAGTGGAGAAAAGCCTGGAATAGCAGTATGCCAACCCTCTTCCTAAAGAGGTTAACCTGGGGCACAGGAAGCAGCTCTAAAAAGCTCCTCCAGGAGAGGGGAGTCCATCTACCAGGAAGTGGACATGTGACATTCAGCCCTAGTTCCATATCTCTCTAGAAGTATGGGACAAAAATAAAACAAAACAACAAAAAAAAACACCTCCAACCCCACAAGAGTCAGGCCCTGGCAACAATTTTGGACCTGCAGAAGCCCAACCCACTCCAACCCAACCCCCTGCCCTGTGTCCCCCAACAACCACCAGCTCTCATTTTACCAGCACTGACTTTGGCAGAAAGGGCTCCGTGATGAGGTCTCCTCGAGAAGACAGCTGCGGTGGGGGTGGCTGCCCAGGAGGCTGCTGGTGAATGCAGGGCCCAGAGGCAGAGGCAGAAGTGGAAGCTATGGCTTTGACTGCACCTCGGGGAAGGCTGTAGAGGTAGACGGCACCAATGACGAGCCCAGCGCCAAGGGCAAATAATGGGTCCAGGTGGAAGCCAAAGAGGCGAATGGAGGCAACAGTGGAGAGTACAATGGACAGGGAGGTGGCAAAGCCCTTGAGGATATTGTCAGCATACTTGACAACGACAGCTACCAGGAGCCCACCAAAGGCTTGGTTTAGTACCACACCCCAGACAGCAGGCGTGTAACCAAAGAAGAAGCCTTGATGGGCCACAGCAGTGCCCTCAGCCCACCACAGCCCCACCAGGCCCAGAGCTGTGCCAAAGAGGCCAAGCTGTAGGTTACGCAGCCACACGGAGCCTGAGCTGCCTTTGAGGATATTCTCAAAGTAGACACCTGCAAAGCCTGAGGAGAGACAGGAGGCCACGACAGCTGCTAGGCCTGCCCCGGGGTTCTGATCCAGTGGCCGTGGGCCACCCCCACCAGCTTGCTGTGCCTGGACAATGGCAACACCAGTGAAGAGCAGCACTAGGGAGCCCCACTGCAGGCGGGAGAGACTGCGGTTCAACATGAGCACGGAGAACAAGGCTGTAGTCAGGATCTTCAGCTGATATGTCACCTGCAAGTTGCATGTGGAAGGCACTGAGGGCTGGTCCCAACTCTCAGAAAGTGCAAGGGGTGGAGGGACAGTACCCACTGTAGGCTTCTGGGCACAATGAAAAGGATAAGGTAGGGCATATGGCAATAAAACTAACCAGCCATTGACCACTGACTAACCTGTGGCTACCAAGATACCAAAGACCCTTCCAGATAACTAAGGGATGTAGTTTAACCGGTAAAGTGCTCACCTAGCATACACAGACTGCTGGATTCCATCCCCAGCGCCATATGAACCAGGTGCAGAAGCAAACACCTGTAAGCCCAGCACTCGGGAAATGGACAGTAATCATTGGCTATGTAGAAACTGGGCTAGAAATCATCTCAAAAAAACAACCTCCCAGTGAGTTACAAAAGGGTAGCTGTGCCAGGAAATCCCAAGCCATACCCAAATCTAGATCAACCCAATCCCATTTTCCTAGCTATGTGATAGGGACAAATCACTTGTCTTTTCTGAGACCTAGTATCATCTCTGTAAAATAAGGCTGATGTATATAAAACATCTCCACGGCAGGTGTGGTGGCACATGCCTTTAATCCCAGCACTCAAGAGGCAGAGGCAGGCAGATCTCTGTGAGTTCAAGGCGAGCCTGATCTACAGAGCAAGTTGCAGAACAGCCAGGGCCACACAGAGAAACCCTGTCTTGAAAAATATAAGAACCTCCAAATAGGTAATGAATAAGTAGAAAGCTTTGTGATAAGGGATGTCTTCAAATAAATCAACCACAACAAGGCCAGAAAATATTTATAGATTCCTATGTATTTGTCCACTGTGCATCTGTGCACTATATCAGAATTTATTATTTAATCTTCACAACTACCATGGAACTGGACAGCACTATAACCTTCAATTTAATGATGAGAAAACTAGACATGGTGGCACATGACTGAAATCATAGCACTTAGGAGTTAGAATAAGAATCATGAGTTCAAGACCAGAGTGACCTACACAGCAAGACCCTGTCTCAAGAACCAAAGAAAAGAGTAAAAGCTGAAGATACAGCTTAGCTAGTAGTTTTGCTCAGCATGCGCAAAATGCTAGGTTCAGAATGTCCCTAGCACCTCATAAACAAGGCACAGTGTCACACATCTATAATCCCAACACTTGAGTGGTTGAGGCAGGAGGATCATAGGTCATCATCTGTTACATAACGAGTTCAGAGTCAGCCTGGGCTACATGAGACCCTGTGTCAAAGAAAACAAATGAAATAATAAAATGATGGGCAAATAAAAGCACAGAAAGGTAAGTGACTGACCACCCCCACTCCCAAATCATGCACCTACAAAGCAGTAGCACTGGGATTTGAACCCAGGCAACGTTGCTATAGCATCTAGGATTGAATGAATACAATCTAGGATTGTATTCATTCATTCACTCTTCACTTTTTCAAGACAGGGTTTCTCTTCCATAGTCCTGGCTGCCCTGGACTCACTTTGTAGACTAAGCTAGCCTCAAACTCAGAGATCCAATACCTCTGCATCTCTAAGTGCTGGGATTACATATGTGTGCCACTATTGCCCAGTCTGTGTTCTGCCTACATGTATGTCTGCACAGCACATGTATGCATAGTGCTTTGGGGGTCAAAGAGGTCATCAGATCCTCTGAAAATGGAGCTACAGATGGTTGTGAGCAGTCACATGGCTGCTGGGAATCAAACCCAGGTTCCAGGTCCCATAGAAGTGCAGCCAGTGTTTATACTGCTCCAGCCCCAAGAAACAGTTTCTTTATGTAGTCCAATCTGTTCTTGAAGCACAAAGCCTCCTGCTTCAGACTCTTGAGTGCTGGCTGCAGGTATATGCCAACATGTCTGGGCCCAGGTATATTTTCAGCTATCCAAGCATCTCTCCTGTTCCCAATTTTGACACATGAGGAAACCAAAGTTAAGGGAGTTCTCTGAAAGTGACATCATTTTTGCTCTTTGCATACCATCTCCCTCCTTCCATCTAGATCTCCCTCCTACTTCCCTGGAGGTTATGCTGGGCTGGGGACTTACCTGGAAAGTGGCAGCTGGCAGGTTGGTGATGGCTACATACTGGAGGTTATTCTGCAAGGTATAGATGAGAGAGGGAACCGCGAGCTTGAGTGTGTCCACATACTGCACCAGGACAGCCTCATGGAGGAAGAGAACCAGGTGCTTCACATTACCTATAGGGGAGAAGGGGCTGCTGAAGGGTGGGACTAGGCTTGCCTCCACTCTCTACCTCCTAGTCTTGCCTTCTACCATCACTGAACTACTCCCCTCCTGCCTGCTCTCGTGCAGTTTCTTCTCCAGTACAACAATGCCAATAAGAGCGCTTGCTGAGCTTGGCATGGTGGTGCATGCCTTTTATCCCAGCACTTGGGAAGCAGAGGCAGGCAGATCTTTGTTAATTTGAGGCCACCCTGGTGTACATATTGAATTCCAGGATAGCCGGGGCTACAGAGTGAGACCCTGTCTTTAAAAAAAAAAAAAAAAAGCCTTTCTGATACTCAACTTAATGGCTGCAAAAAGGGATGGGGATATAGTTTAGTGGTGGGGTGCTTGCCTAGTAGATGTGCCCCCAGGTTCTACCCTAACACCGTAAGAAAAGACAAATAATCGTAACAAAACTATTATCCATTCCACTATGCCTGCTAATCAAGCAAATTTCACCCACCTGAGATCTGCCTCCCCTGGCATAAGCGCATTCAGGGTGAACACTCACCATGTTTATACAATAAAATAATCACCAGTACCTAGAAGCATGTGACATAGAGGTTCTTTGTTCCCAAGCTGATGTATACGACTATCTTTCAGAAGGGAAGTTTTACACTTTTTTGTTTTGTGGTGGTAGGGCCTCACATGCCACTGAGCTGCATATCCATCATTAAGACTTTTAGATATCCTGACTCCGTGGTCCATGAGCCACTGGAGGACAGAGTCCATTTCCCATCCAAACAGATCTTTTTATAAGCCCTAGATACATTAAAAAGCTGCCCTTGCCCTATGGATAAATAATGGTTTTTCATTCTTTCTTCTCTGTTAAGCCTGAGCTGGTATACTTAGAAGACAGCAACTGATGATGGGTATGTGTCTCTTTCTATCACTCTCCACCTTATTTTAAGGCTATTTTTATTTTAGGTATATGAATGTTTGTACATG